CTCCTACTCCTCCTCCTCCTCCTCCTCCTCCTCCTCCTCCTCCTCCTCCTCCTCCTCCTCCTCCTCCTCCTCCTCCTCCTCTTGGACAAAGACTGATGCGGGGCGCAGACACGTGCCCCTTTCGTGCCCCTTTGGGGCCCTTGGGCCCCCCTCGGGGCCCCCCAGGTGCTCGACAGGTGCACTTCTCTCCACCAGCACCCCCATTTATCGACCCCACATTGCACTGACATGACCGCGTCGTTGAACAAAAATCAGGACGACAAGGTTTTCGCTATTTTCGGCCACTGGGGGCCCTCGCCGAGCCCCAGGACTGTCAAAAAACGACTGAGGATGCAAAACCGGCCCCGGGAAAAGGGTCTGGACTTCCTGGGACGCCGTCCTGAACAAATTGGGACATCGCAAGTCTGAGTACGCAACGCCTGATCCGCTCGGGGACCTACCAACCTGGGTCAAGCCAAACCCGGAGACCATGGGGCTTTACATGACCCTGCAAGATCCTGCAGGATCCTGCAGGATCCTGCAGGATCCTGCGCGCTAGCCCGGAGCAGTGCGCCCCTGGCTCTGCAGGATCCTGGCTGACCCCTGTTCGCATCGACCCCCGTCTTTTGAGACCCGATCCGCCCCCTCCCCAGACATGCGACGTCCCGATTTTCTCAGGACGGCGTCCCAGGAAGTCGAGACCCTCTCCCTGGAGCCGGTTTTGCATCCTGGGTCGTCGTTTGACCGTCCCGGGGCCCGGCGAGGGCCCCCATGCGGCCGAAAATAGCGGAAAAACCTTGCCGTCCTGCTTTGTTTCGACGACGCGCTCGATGCCTGCGTCCCCGCGCGAGCCCGGCCCCCGAGCCGCCTCCGTGTTGCTCTCCGCCTGGGCCTCCGCGTCGCTCTCCGCCTCGGCGTCGAAGTCGTCCTCCGGCGCCTCTGCGGCGGCGGCCTCCGCGGCGGGCGCTCTGCGCGGCCCCTCGGCCGCCGTCAGGTTCGTCGTCGTCGTTGTCGCCGCCGCCGTCGTCGACGCGGTGGTCGTGGGGCTCGTCGTCATCGGGTCCGTCGTCATCGGTGTCCTCGTGGGGTTCGTCGTCATCGGGCTCGTCGTCGTCGTCGAAGACGACGACGTCGACGTCGTCGGCGCAGGAGTTGAGGGGCGAAAGACGGGGACGAAGGACGAGGGACGAGAACAGAGGACGACACGGGAAGACGGGTGGGGACGCTGTGGCTTTCCTGTCCACGACCCAGATCCCTCGTTCACGCATGCGGATTTTCTGCCGGAGGTCGCTTCTTGACGCTCCAGAGCCCGAAGACGGCCACTGGACACCGAGATCGCGAAGAAGCGTGCC